GCCACAGAGAAGGCCATGCCACCTGTGAAGCCAGCCTGCCTGAGTCAAACCCTGGCTCCCATCTGGGGATAGGAACAATAAACAGTACCTGCATCACTAGGTAACTGTAAAGATCACACAAGTTGAAGAAAAAAATGCCTCTAAATCCAGTACTGGCGCTTGGTACACGCAATCACAGTGACAGGGAAATCTCTACCAGTGCCAGTGCTAGTTGCCTCCCAGTCTGCCCAGTCCTCCTGAATAGGAGCTCTTTTCTCCTCCGACTTCGTATCTCTGCTTACTTCAGAGCCCAAGCATGTTGTCCCCATGGACCTCCAGATGATCCTCAAGGACCCAGGCCTCCAAAAAAGCCCAAGCGAGGTTGTCATCCTCAGCTCTGTCCCTGCTTCCTGGAACATCATCTGGCCTGGGACTTCTGAGACCAAGATCAACTCCATGCCAGCACCCTCACTGTGCCTCGCCAGCTCCCTTCACTGAGGGACACACAGTGGCCACATTTCCTTACCAGTCAGGCTCATCAGGTCTTCAGGAACTGCCCAGATCCTTCCAGAATCTTAGGCAGGCTGTTTCTGAGTAAAGTGCACTCTGAGGTACTTCTCTTGAGTCAACTGTTTGGTTGGCCAGGAGAATGAGTAGAACCATCAGGGGATGGAGGCCAGGCCACACGGTACAAAGGGAAGGGAGGTGCTGTTTCTTAAAGCATTCATTTTACCTTTGTAATTCCACATCACCTAGTGCAACATTAGAAGTTATTTAGCTTCTTGCAGAGGCAGTGTTTTCATTTTATAGAGGAAGAAACTATAGTTGGGGTGTGGGAGGTGGACAGCCAATGGCAGCCTGGGACCTGGTTTCATTACTTCCTGGGGACAGCCCTCCTTCCAAAGAAAGCTGCCTTTGAGATCCAGGTTGCCTGGAGCATCCAGAAGGGCAATTTCCACTGAGGAAACTTGAGTGCCGGCCACACCCTGGAAATGGCCCCTTGTCCTGGAATGGAGCAGGAATGGGGTAGGAGATTGGATCCTTTGGCAGGGAAAAGCTGAAAGTAGTGGACAGTAGGGGGTCGAATTTTCAAACAGAGAGCACATAGGAGAGGACAAGTGGCTTTCTTTGCCTTGGAGAGACTGTTTGTCCATTACACAAATATTTGCCAGGCCCTGTGCAGGACAGAGAGACACACAGATCAGGCCAGCCCAGAGGGGCCTCTGTTGTAACAGCAATGACAGATTGGGAAATGGATGGGCAGCATCAGGGCAGAGAAAGTACATGGCAGGGCAAATGGAGTCACCCAGAGGCAAAGGAAAGGTAAGGTACAGGGTGGTAAGAGTGGTGGCAGGTGTAGGGCCTAGAGGTAGGCAGGGGCCACAGCACGGGGCACAGCCTGGGAAGTGGGGTTTGTGTTGGTGCCTCACAACCAGGGAGAGAAGCAACCTTTGCACTGTATTCCCCAGTGCACCCTGTCTTGACTCCTCAGAGTTCATGGGGAGCCAGCGAGGTAGGGATTTTGGTTTTTTACAGATGAATGAGCTGAGACTCAAGGAGTTCATGGCTGTCCGAGGTCACCCAGCTGATATATAAGTAACAGAGGTTAGAACCCAGGTAAGTCTCTTTCCAGAAGCCCCAGAGCTACAGAGATAGCTAGATTCACTCATTCATCCAGTGTACTGAACCCTACCCTCTGCCAGGTGCACTTCTTGGAACAACATTTCAGTAATAAATTAAACAAACAAAACAGATGAGACAAGGCTAAAGATGTTGGCCTTTTTAAGCCCAGAACAATGGCACATGCCTGTAATCTCAGCTATTTGGGAGGCTGAGGCAGGAGTATTGCATTGAAGCCAGCCTGGGCATCCTAGTAAGATTCTGTCTCAAAATAGAAAATAAAAAGGGTTAGTATAGCTCAGGGGGAGAGCACTTGCCCAGGATGCAGGAGGCTCTGGGTTTAATCCCCAGTACGCTCTCCAAAAGAGTCTGGGTTTTATTCTGTCCGCCAGGCTCCCGGGTAGGATGAGTGCCCATCTACCCTGAGTTGGCCTACTCCCCAGGGCAGGAAGGGCCATTGTTCGTCCTAGGAACAGTTTGCCATTTGCCATAGGCAGCAGTTTCTCAGAAGCAAACTGTGTTGAGCAAACCTGTACCTGCTGCCCTCACTTGACCTCTCAGGCCCAGAGTATCAAGAACCCCAGGGACAAAGAAGCAGGTTTTTTACTGGAAGAAGGAACACTGCCCCCACCACCTGTAGCCACAATATCCCCATGCCCTAGCTGAGTGGGGCAAGAGTGGAGCTCTCTGGTTTCTCCTGGGTCCCCACTGAACCCAGTGCTTCTGAATGCACCAAGGGAAGGGTATAGACAGTGTGGAGAGAAGGGCTGAGGCCAGGTAATTCCAGAGCAGTCAATGACAGACGGGCCAGGCACCTTTACCGACAAAGGAGAAAAATTCCCAGTTGCAGGGATGGGGGTGGGAGTAAAGTGGGGAGGTGGTCAGCATCTACTGACTAGGCCAAGGAGGGGCAAATACAGGGTCTTTAGAACTTTTTTTTTTGGTACGGGGGATCGAACTTGGGCCCTTGCACTTGCAAGGCAGGCGGCAGAACCACTGAGCTAAGTCCCCAGCAAATACAGGGTCTTTACATCCCTAGGTCAGTGGAATCTCCAGCTCAGCTTCTTCAGCTTCTCCTCCAAGTTCCTTCCCGTGCTGTTAGCACGTTCCCTAGTGGAGGCATCCAGATGGCAGGGAGGGTCCAGGACACTGCTGAACAGGCTGAGCAGGCCCCCCTGCTTCCCGCCTCCTCATGGCCCCACGGATCATCCGGTGCTGCCAGCCCATCTCATTGGCTCGCTCCTGGTTACTCATCTCTCCTCTTCCCCATCTTCCCAGCCCATGGTTGCTATGGAAACAGAACGGTGACATCACCACAGGGCAAGGACGGAAGAGAGAGATGCTGCTCTTGGAAGGTGCCATTTCTGCTGCCTGCCACATGTCATGGCCATATCTGGATCTACTGAGGGCAAAAAGGAGAACAGGAAAGGCGGCAAGGCTCACCACCCCCAACCCAAATGTGATGAGCATAACAGGGCAATAAAAGAGGCAGGTCCTCAGAGATGAGGGGGAAACTGCATACACTCAGGAGGATGAAAATGGAGGGAAGGGAGAGGTGAGGCTTAGGAGTCAGCCTTAGAGACCCAGGTCAGAGCATGACAGCCACAGCGAGGGTACCATTTGGTTGGGGTTTGTCTAGCGTACCTCAAAACTCATTATTGCTCACTTTGGGCAGGGCCCAAGAGAAGGGAAAGGATTTCTTAGTGCCTCTTACTCCAACCCATCCCAAAGACCTCTACTGCCCTTCTTCACAGTGGTAAATTTCTAATCCTGTCTCAAGGGGGGTGGGTAATGAGGATTAGAAAAGCAAAGCAATCTGCCCTGAGTAACCGAAAGGCAGTGAGGGGCAGAGCATGGACTGTTAGAGTCCTGAACCACCCAGGGAGATAAGAATAAAAATAAATCCAAAACAGCAGCACACTCAGCATTTTAAATGTATTGTCTCACTTGATCCCCACATATCTCCATTTCAAAGATGAAACTGAGACTGAAGTGACTCGCCCACGGCCACAGAGACAGAACTGGTGAAATCAAGGTTAAAACGCAGCTCTTTCTTGCAGCAGCTGTCAGCCTAGCATAGCTGCCCATCACTTCATTGTGAGGACCAGGCAGGGAGAAGCTCTGGTCCCTGGGTCTCTGACCACTGAATCGTTGAGTGTCTGAAGGCTGTGACCTTGATTCTGAAACATCCTACTGTCCTTGGCATCTTCTCTGGCAGTGAAGTCACCAGGGCTCCATGCCCAGCCCTGAGGCCTGTCCCTGTTCCTTCGGCAGAAAAGGGGCCTCTCAGTCTTCCAACTACTGAACTACCCCAAAAGAATGAAGATCTGCTGTGGGGGAGACTCTTCCTGGTCTCCTTCCCAGAACAGTCAGGGGAAGGGAGGAAGGGACTTCCACATAGGGAAATAGAGGCCCAGGAGGGGGAGCGGGCTTGCCACATCATAGGTCCCTGACCCAGGTCCAGGACTACAATGCCAAGTTCCACATGTTCTCCCTGGCTGAAGGGGAGTTCGCACCACGTCCCCAGGGTCTCCTGGTGATTTGCTTACACTTCTCTTCCCCTGACCCTTGGGATCAGCCCAGCCTCCCGGGACAGTCACCACACTGCCCGTGTGAATGCTCCCTTGAAGATGTCTCCTTGAGTGTAACTCTTTTTCCCTATTGGCATTCGTCACAGAAGGGCCGGCACAAAGCAGGTGCTTAATAACTGCTGGATTAATGAATAGGCTCCCGTGAACTTTACTCACTTGTTAAAAGGGGACAAATAACAGCACCTACTTCATAGATTTTAAAAGTTCAATGTGACAATGTACTTAAAGCCCTCTGCATGCCAGAAGCTCAATCTGAGATGGGTTCTGGGTGTGTGTGTGTGTGTGTGTGTGTGTGTGTGTGTGTATTTTTGAGACAAGTACTCGCTATGTGGCCCAGGCTAGCCTCAATCTCAAGGCGCTTCTGCTTCACCTTCCTGAGTGCTAGGATTACAGGTGTGCGCCGGGTAGTATCATTAAAAGTGCTTTGTAAACTGTAAAACAACAGCACAGTAGGCTCTTTAACGGAGGAGAGACAAGTTCTAAGAGCCCGCAGGCTGGCTGTGTGTAGAGTTCAGAGGAAGGGCTGCGAGTGGCAGCACGGCTTTCAGGCAGGTGGGGGAGGTGGCCTTGAGCCTTGAAAAGCATCTGAATTGACAGAATTTCTGAAGGAAGGTGTGGGAGAAACCACCGGAGTACAAGCTCAGAGGTCAGAGCAGCCTGCAGCACTTGCAGGGGCGGCTGGGCAGTCGAACAGCGCCAGCAGGAGACATTCCGCAGGGAGGGGGCAAGCACGTGTGGGGCTGGGGCGAGGGGAGGGTCACGCGTACATCGGGAGGGGAGGACACGGGCAGCCCAGCCGCAGACGGTGCCCTGGAGACTGCCCCGCCAACAAGCGGCGGGAGCGAACACGGAGAACGCCGGCCCGGAGCCAGACAGCCCGGGCGCCTATCTGGGCTCCAGTTCACCTCCCACTCAGCTTGACCTTGTGTTTCCTTCTGAGCTTCGGGCTCCTATAAATTGAGGACAAAGATGCCTGTGCCACAAGGGTCAACGAGCGCTTTCCCCGGCGCGGGCATCAGCTCCTCTCTTGGTCACAGCTCGCAGAGGGACTGGGGATGGAAGATGCTGGTGGCATGAACCCAACCCAGTTGCTTCCTTTTCAGATTCCGCAGTGCGCCTCAAAGCCAGAGAAGGGAGAGGTTCGGCCAGCTTCGGGGCAGGGAGTCTGCAGAGGAGCACCTGCGGCTGTCCCACCCCAACGACCCGGCGCCTTGGGGGATGGGCGCTCAGCCCCTCGAGGGTGACCGCTCGCCTGAGGCTTCCTATTTCGGGAGCGGGGGGCGTTGGCCACATCTTATCACGTGACGCTAGGGCTATTTAAAGCGGCAGCTCGGGACGCAGGCAGCGGTTTCCGCAGTCCCTGCACACCTTCCTTACGTTTCTCAGCTTCTTTCTCAGCCTAGCCCAACCTCATCATGGTGGAGGCCTTCGTGGGAACCTGGAAGCTAGTGGACAGCAAGAACTTCGATGACTACATGAAGTCACTCGGTGAGCGAGCAGCCGCAGGGCTCAGATGGCTGGTGGGGAAGGGACGGCCGCGTGCCGGACCCGGCGCAGGGCTCTTTGCCTGGCCGGTGCCCCGCGTGCCTGCTGCGTCCAGTCTGTCTCGGCCAAGGCTGAAGATCAGCGAGACGGGGCGCGCGGGGGGCCGCCTGGGCTAAGGCGTGGTGAGTCTGTTGGAAGAGGGCGTTCACGACCGTAAAGGGCGAACGGGAGGCGGAGGAAGGAGGCAGCTTTGAGGATGTCAGGCTGGGAGGCTGTGGAGGGAGAGGGGTATATGATGCGGAGGTGGGAGAAGAGTTTGGATAAAACGAGAGCACAGATCGCCGAAGACGCGCGGCCAACTGGGCGAGAGCAGGCGCCGGGGTGGTCTGCAAATTGGAGACGGAATCCAGAAAGGCAATGGAGCCTGATAGGGAGTGTGCTGTGCCCCAAAGCAGTAGGAAATACCTAGAAAAGGGCTACTGGAGAGGAGGACCTCAGCACAATTAACCACCGTGCTTCACCTCCAAGTGGAGTTAGGGAAGAGGACCGTCCCCGGAGGGCACCCTCTTTCTCACAGGTGTGACCTTCTGTTACAGTGGTTTATAACCAGGGCTGTCCAGGAGCCTAGTGGGGGGGCAGAGGCCCATCCCCACCTGGGCCTTCCCTACAGCCCTGGGGGGAAAAGCAAGGGTGGAGAAAGCCACTGGACTTAGGAGGGGCCTCCCGGGTCCCAGAGCTAGATAAAAACTTGTTAGGAGAGGGGTCACTGGTCAGCGAGGGCGTGCTGTTGAAATGAGGAAGAATAGTTTCAAAGCTTGATACAAGTGTAAGGAGCTTGTCTAGCTCAACAGATAGGGAAACAACACGGAGGGCCTGAGCAAGCCGACATTTTAAAAACTCTACAACAGAGCTGGTACAAAGACCCAGGACCTATATCCCAGAGCTCTTCCCACTATGGCGAAGGCCCGGGGAATGGGAGAGGTGCTGGCCTGAGCCCTTCCCCTCCTGGTTTGGGCTTAGATGGAGGCTCTTGATAGCCTTCCTGTGAAATTCTCAGCTGTGTTATCCTAGTCCACTCAGCAGGGATGAAGGAAATTGAGGTGTTCATGACTGAGCTAGGTTCCATGCCTTTCTCCCCAGGAAGGAGGGCGGCAGATATGGCAGGGGCATGAGGTGGTCCCTCTCACCTCAGCTCCTGTTTCCTGGAACAGGGCCCACAAGAGCTGCCTGGTGCCCTACCCTCTCCTGGGCACTATGCCCAGTGATTCCAAGAAGGGAGCCATTCTTTTTTTGAGACAGGGTCTCACTATGTAGTTCATACTGCTCTAGAACTATGCAGCCCAGGCTGGTCTCAAACTCACAGCAATTCTCCTGCCTCAGCCTCCCAAGTGTGCTGGAATAAGGGAGCCATTCTGGAGAAGCAGGGGCCACAGGCAGCTGTTGGGGAAGCTGGATTGTCCAGTCCCTCCTCGCATAGCAGACAGCTGGGCCAGAGTAGAATCCCTGAACAACCACCTACTACCGCTGTTTAATTGTTCCAACTTGAGGGGGGCAGGTCTCCCTAAAGACCTGTTGTCTTTGGACAGCTCTGTGCTTGTGCATTTGTGTTACTGGGGATAGACCGAGGGCTTCCATTACGCTAAGCACATAGTCTACCATTATGCCACACCTCCAGCCCAGGGCAGCTTTTTCTTAGGGGAATTTGGGGCTGAAATTCCAGCCTTCTTTTCTCCTGGTAGTTAGAGAGGCTAAGGGACACTGAAGATCTGCTTCCATGCATTCTTAGTAAACAACGTGGATTCACTTTAAAGTAGAACCTATCTCTTCTTAAGTCTCCTAAATTCTGTCACTGCAATCTTTTTCAGTTCTGGGGACTGAATCCTGGATCTCACACACACTAGGCAAGCACTCTACCACTGAGCTATTTTCTTAGGTTTCTTGTGGCTCAGTCTCTTACTCTCCCAGTGGTTTCCTTCCTCAGATTCACACTCTGGGTAAGTCCTAAGCAAAGAGCTCTTGGTGTAGTGACCAGGCCCTGATTTGTCCTGATGTGTGTGACTAGTCCAACTCAGTTGACACCAGGGGGGGCAAAGCCAAGTCCCTCACTGGCCAGGCAGGGTGGGCTGGCATCATCACAGCTGCAGATGCAGCCCTTGCCCCTCTAATTTTTTTTGTACCAGGGATCGAACTCGGGACCATGTGCTTGCAAGCCAAGTGGTGGAACTGAGCTAAATCCCCCGCCTTGCCCCTCTTTAGACCAAGGGTCCTCTGGAGGCAGAGGCCCAGCTTCGCACCAAGGGACCACAGACCCAACTGGTGGCCTTGGTGCTGAGTATATGCTGGGTAGAATGGCACAGTGGGAACAGTGAATAGCTTGGGAATTTAGGTCAGTCACTCTTTCACTTGGGGTCAAGACACCACTCAGTCTCATTTGTAAATGGGTGCTAATAAGAAACCTACCCTTAGGCTCTTCTAAGCATTAAAATAACCCATTTAGCTTCCAGCAAACACTATGTAGCCAGATACCTTTGGAGACCTGGTACACTGCCTCACCTCTGCCTTGGAGGACAGCACAGCATAGGCTGCTGGGGGCAGAGAAACAGGGCAGTCATGATGGAGACTGGTAGCAAAAGGACAGACCCCAGGGAAGCTACAGCCTGAAGGGATGAAGGGTTAGCCTGAGTTCTGTGGTCTTCACCACCTTCTCATAGGACACTTAGGACTTTGCTAAGCATCCAGGAAAGTCATGCTTGGGTCAGGAGTCACAGGGCCTTAGGAGTCCAGAGCTGGAACTCTACCACTCTAGGCCTTCCTGGAAGGCAGCTTGTTGCTTTACCTTGGGACGCCCTGGGGCTGAGAAGCTGCAAGAGCTCTGGGATCTGACTACTTGGGGCTTCAATCTTAGATCTGTCCCTCACTCAGTATTTACCTCTGTAAAGGGGAGACAACCGAATCAGCCCTTCTAGCAGAAAGGAGGGACTGAATGAGACAATGTGCACAGTTCTTCACCAAATGGAAAGTCTTAGTACCTTATTCTGATTTCAGCTCTTGGGCTGGGGATTTAGCTCAGTAGTTCTGCTGCCTGCTTTGCAAGCCTTAAGGTCCAGAGTTCGATCCCTGGTACCAAAAAAAGTTTTTTTTCAGCTCTTGCTAATTTTCTCTGGCATGCATGTTTTTTACATTTTTCACCTGTCACTGCACAGAGCTAAACGTAAGACTTAATTTAAAAATGGGCACATGGTGGTACATGCCTGTAATCCCAGCACTTGGGGAGGTTAAGGCAGGAAGACAGCCATGAGTTCGAGGCCAACCTGGAATACACAGTGAGCTCAAGACCAGACTGGACTACACATGACCCTGTCTTTAAAAAAAAAAAAAAAAAAAAAAAAGGCACACCAAGACTTTGAAAGTTATGATCCTATTCTTAGGCCCCATACCAGGGCCTAAGTGTTACTCCTTGAGCTTGTTCATAGCCTGTTTTAGCTTCTACTCATGACCTTCCTCTGGCCCCCAGGTGTGGGCTTTGCTACCAGACAGGTGGCCTGCATGACCAAGCCCACCACAGTCATTGAGAAGAACGGTGACATTATCGTCATAAAAACACACAGCACCTTCAAGAACACGGAGGTCAGCTTTCAGCTGGGGGTGGAGTTTGATGAGACAACAGCTGACGACAGGAAGGTCAAGGTGAGTCAAGAGAAGTGGGAATGGGGGACAGAAGGTGCTGAGACCCTGACAGGACAGAAGCTGATAGTCTCGGTCCCTTGTTATTGCATCCGAAGGGGCAAGGCTTAAGTGAAACAAAGTTCATAAAGCCTGTTCAGCGCTGGAGTATTCCAGGGGATAAATCCGTTAGTTTTACCCTCTTTATTCCCTCCCTTCTTGGGAAGCATTTAACTAGCTGCATCTGCAAATGGGCAGCACAGAGCTGGTATGTTCTTCTGACCTGTGTCTGCTCCAGCCCCAATAGGATGACCTTGTGCAAAGTATGCAATGGATTTCTTTCTTCAGATGGAGACAGGAAGTGGCCGTGGCTGTGTAATCTGAAGTGTTTTAGAAGCGAAACCCAGATGTCAGGACCCCACATTGAGTGAGACCATCCAGGCCTCTAGCAACAAAAGGATCCTTCCTTCGCTAGGAATAAGAGGCTGAGACCTCAAATGCTTCAACTTCTCCAACCTGCAATTTCCAGACTTGGTAGTGTCCCTAATGAACAATTTCCAGTGCTGCCAACTGACAGACAGGAAAAGCTGTGTACTGGCATGGGGCGTTTACACTGTCATGGGCGTTTAGTGTCTTCCCAGCAAGCTTCCCTCAGCAGAATGGGCATTCACTCCATGGTGGCTGTCTTAGCAGCTTGCCTCAGCCCTCTCAGCAAGGGACAAAACAAAGGGGCCCTGACTTCTACAGGGTGTCCCTAAAACAGTGTCCCCTCTACCACAACCAGCTCTTCAGCTGTTTCCTCTTCCTCACAGCTGCCCCCAGGAAGAGCAGGGTAGGGGCTGGTCTCCTCGCAGAGGAAGAGGAGATGAAGCCCAGCCCAGGATCAAAAGGTTGGCAGCAGAGCAGCAGATGTGCTCAAAGATGGCAGCCCACCTTGGATGAAGGTGGCTACCCAACACATACCCCTACAAAACTGCCACCTTCTTGAGGGGCAAGAACCCCAATTAAACACAGCGGTAGTCCTCTGGGATGTCTAGGGCAAAAATAATCTGCCCTGAGTGCACAAAAAACTGGAGGAATGAGAATAAGGAGTATGGTGGTATATAGACAGCAGGTCAAGAGCCAAGCAACCCTAACAGAAGCACAGCTTTCCCAACCTCCTCCTGTTCTGCTCAGTCTGATCTACAGCCCCCAAATTCCTAGAGGGGAGATGCGAGAGAGCTGCCAAATGAGAACCAGCTCATGCAGGTTGGGAGCACCCAGGGGACTAAATGGGCATATGAACCAAGGCTGAGAACACTTAAGAACACTCGCCCTTCTCTTTTCAGGCGAAGGGGACACATGATGTGGATTGACAAGAGGGGAGGAAGTTTAATTTCCCAGTATATTCCATCACTAAAGGAAAAATGGGTACATTCTCCTATACCTCAGGGGAACTGAGCTGTGTGCGTCTCCTAAAGTATAGGACAAGCACCTGTTTTTTGGTTGGCTTTGTTTTGTATTGAAGAATCAAATCAGGGCCTCACACATGTGGAAGTATGCACTCTACTAATGAGCTACCCTCTCAGCTAAGTGCCCTTCTTGGGGGAGTCCTGGGTACTTTGAGCTGCACTGTTTTGGCTCCGCCTCTCCCGACCTGAAGGCTTGTCCCCAGCCATGCAGCGGTGGAGCAGAGGCTGAAGGTGAACTGGCCATCCTACCAGGCAAGCTTGGAAGTGGGCAGCCTGAGCTTTGGTCCCAGCAACATCACTAGTTTGAATCAGAGGTTGTGTCCTGTGGATTTTCTGACCCCATCCTGCCTCAGTCCTGGCTCAGGTCACTGCTTAGGTGTCTGTCCTCTTTCTGCAGTCCCTTGTAACGCTGGATGGAGGAAAACTCGTTCATGTGCAGAAGTGGGACGGGCAAGAGACAACACTTGTACGGGAGCTAATTGATGGGAAACTCATCCTGGTAAGATGGACAGCTTTTGAGCCTCACATTAATTGGTCACTGTTACTACCTCCTCAGCAGGCCTGTTTTAAAACCAATGCCCTCCCCTGGGTGCCACAGGACCTGGTACAAAAGAGGCAGAGACAGGGTCCTAGCTTTGGAGTCACAGGTCTGGGTTCAAATTTCACTGAGAGACTGCACTGCTTTGCATGTCACCTTCTCCAAATGCAACTGTAAAATGTGTATTAATAACACCAATCTTGCAGTGCTGCCAGCAAGTCTGAGAGTGGTATGCAGGGCAGAAAACTTCATGGAGATGGGAGGAATACACGTGTTCCATGGCCTTAGCTACCTTGTTTCTGCCTTGCCTGCCCCCCAAAAGTAGAAAGTCTATCTCCTATCACAGCATTTCCTTCCCTCTCCTCTCTAGGACCAGACTGTCACATGAGGGGCAGGCTGGTGACTGGTGGGGGAACTTACCTGCAGCACAGTCCTTTTTGCTCTGTCCCAGACCTGCCTCTCAGTATGTTCCACAGCTGGTCTCCTACAAAAACCTATGATCTGTGTAGGAAGTCACACAGTGAGGTTAGCAGTTCTATTTAGGGACAAGTTGAGGGACTTGGAGAACAGTGTCCTTGACCGAACCTCTCCAGACCCAGGAGCACAGACAGCAGCTACTGGTGCTCTCTGTCTGCTGCCTCTGTACCTGTTCTGTGCAGACCTTCCTGAGCCACTGTAACCTGCCTGCTGCATTCTTGCACCCACATGGGATGCACTCACATCCTAGTTAGGAACCTAGTTTTGGTGAGGATGAGATATGTAGGACCAGATATTCACTGGGCAGTCAGACAATGGTGGGCTTGGCTCTGTAATGCCAGACTAAATAGTGGGGGTTTGGGAATCTGGCCCTCGAACTGCCCAAATTTAGGGACAGAATGGGAGTTGGTAGATAGATTAGCAGTCATTTCTCAAGAGTCTATGGAAATTCTTATTCACCATTTGTCTACTATGTACCAGGCACTGTCTTAAGCACTAAGAATTTGAAGGAAGCTGATTGATGCAAGGGAATGAGACCCATTCTAGGATCTTAATGAATTGCTGCCTCTTTTAAAGCTCATTTTTCCAAATCTCTAAAATAGAGATTATACTGCCTATCTTAAAGGCTTGTCCTATGCATCAGGGAAAAAATATGTAAAGTGCCTGGCACATAGTAGGTACTCAAATGATGATCATCACAATAAGGGGAGTACAAGGTGCTCCTGCTTCCGGCTTCCCTCCACCCCATCTGACTCTGTCTTTCCTTCCAGACACTCACCCATGGCAGTGCAGTTTGCGTTCGCACTTACGAGAAGGAGGCATGACCCGAGCTGCCAGCGCTGCCAATGACTACTCCTCTGCCACGTGACTACCCTTCGGCTAGCACCACATTGCCTCACTCTTTTTCCTCTAGTATTTTGTATAAATCCACTTTGGTTAGGAAATTATTTAGGGGGTAAAGTGGTGCCAGCCTAGATCCAGTTCCAGTTCCTATTATGTATGAGGTGTGTGTGTGTTTTTTAAAAAATGTATCCAAAAGGTGCTCTGAGGTCAATAAAGCAGAGCGAAGACCATGAGTTGCCTTTTTGCCTCTGGTGACATGACTAAGGAAGTCTTGTTTCCCCAGTGTGTCGGGTGGGCAGAAATGACTTCCTGAAGGCTCAGGAAGAGGCACTGGACGAGGAGCAGATGAACAGTCTCAAGGACTGCTAATCAGCTGCTCAGCTTACCCGTCTATTAATGAAACAACTGTCCCTACCCCTTGCCCTTCTACCCGCTGCCATGGTCAAATCAGCTAGTCCAGTGTGGGGTTTCCCCAGGCTTGGCCATGAACTTTCACCTCAGGCCTGACCTGTACTGAACACCTGTGAGCCTCGTTTTCTGGAATGCTCTCCAGAGTACAGGCTCAGGGCACGGCATCTAGGCTTGTGCCATTGTGGTGGGAGACGATGATCATTGGCTGAGATGACTACTAAGCTCCCACCTATGCACCAGGATAGTACTTGAGGTTACGGATTCTGACTGGTTCTCTAACCAACTCTGGGGAGAGAGGTCGACTGATCATCACAGAGGGGAGGCTTATAAATGATCTCCCAAGAAAGCTGTGACCGACTAGTGCCTCTGCTCTGTACCTTAGCTGGGCACTCTCCAAGGTCTAAGATAACATATTAAATGCTTTTCTGACCTAGAACCGGGGAGGCTGAGGCACCTGAATTCACGGCCAGCCTGAAGTACACAGTGAGACACTGTCTCAAAAAACAAAAGTATTTTCTGTCAACTAATGCAGGCTCAGTGACTTGAAGTCTGTAAGTTACACATTAATAAGGATTGGAATAAGAACTTTCAGTAAATTTAAAACAAAGCACAAGTCCATTTAGTGCCAGGAATTTAAGCAGAGACTTGAAGTAGAACCAGTAGACTCTCACAGTAACACATAGAAAATACAGTAATGATGTTGGCCTCGGATGTCTGGTTCAGTGGTCTGGTGGAATGTCATACACAAAACGAGTCACACTGCAAATGATCGTTTTCTGATTGTGGCTGTCACTTCTAGCACAGGAGAACCATGTTGAGGGAATGTAAAAAGTGAGCACCACTTCTTACCACGTTCTCCCTCCTACTGCCACTTTCCCTCTGCTCCTGTGTGGGTACAGCAGAGACCATGAGCCAACTAACCCAAGACAATCCAACAGGAAGGGGCAACCACTCCTCCAACTACAGCCAAGCTCAGCTCCACAGCAGTACCTGTGGCTTTAGCCCAGATCCCTGCAAAGGAATCCAGCTCTGGCAGTGGCAGCTGGGTAAAAGGACCACCTGCTGAGCGAAGGAAGCTGGGTGCATGAATGGGTGGGCTGCAGGGGTCACTTGCAAAGGGGTCAGGTGCAATAAGGAAACAACTCATTCAGGCAGCTGCTTTTGACCTCAACTCCCAAACCTGTCTGCTGCATGAGGGGAAACCATCTTCCATGGGAGCGAAGTCACTGGGGTGGGAGACCTATTCTCACTACTGAGTCTCCAGGGGCCAGGGCTTCAGGGCACAAACCTCCTGGACCCATTTTCCCTCACCAACCCCCGCCCCCACGCTCTGCTACTTTCACTCCTTGTGTTTCTTCTTATGCTTCTTTTTCTTTTTCTTCTTCTTTGCTGCCTTGCTGTCTTTTGATGTGTGCCTTGCCCTTTTGCCCGTATCACTCTCAGAGTCTGAGGTATCAGAGTCAGATGACTTCTTGTCTCTATGTTTCTTTTTCTTCTTTTCCTGAAAAGAAAAATTTAAAATTCAACATTGTGTGTGATTTTTTTTTTTTTTTTAAATTTGGTACTGGGGATTGAACTCTGGACCTTGTGCTTGCAAGGCAGGTGCAGAACCACTGAGCTAAATCCCTGGCCTATGTGTGAATATTTGATAAATTACCCAGCTCTGGGTGCAAGGTGCATTCCTGTTACCACAGCCCTGTAGAAGATAGAGGCAGGATGATCAAAAATTTGAGTTCAGCCTGGGCAACTTAGTGACTTAGACCTTTGGAGGGGTGGAAATTAAAGAGATGGGGCTGGGGCTGGAGATTTAGCTCAATGGTTTTGCTGCCTGCCTTGCAAGTGCAAGGACCCGAGTTCGATGCCCCCCCAGGCCCCCCCAAAAGAGATGGGGGTAGTTCAGTGCAAAGACTCTGGGTTTAATCCCCAGGTTTTTTTCTTCCTCTTTTTTTTTTTTTTTTTTACCAGGGATCAAACTGAGACTCTTGTGTTTGTGAGACTGGTGGCAAAACCACTGAGCTAAATCCGCAGCACTTTTTCTTTTTGAGATAGGGTCTCACTATGCAGTTCAGGCTGGCCTCGAACCTCAGCAATCTGCCTGCCTGAGCATTCAGAGTGCTGAGTACAGACATGCATGCACCACCACATCTGGCTTTAATCCCCAGTATGTTTTTTTTTTTTTTTTTTTTTTTTGAAATACCAAGTGTGGTGGCTTTGGGAGGCTCAGACAGGAAGATCTCCATGATTTTGAAGCCAGTCTAGGCTACGTAGCAAATTTAAGGCCAACCTGACCTACACAGCAAGACCCTGTCTCAAAAACTAAAACTTTTGGACTTGTGATTCCTAGTTTGGTTTCTGTTAAATGCTATTGCCAGGGAAAATCATCATCAATGAGTCCCTACCCGCTATCCTTCAATATTTATCTCACTTTCAAAAGCAGCTCACAAGAGTATACTGAGAACAGATCTAAGAAAGAACTTTTCCCAAACTAGACCCCCTGACCATGCTGCTGAGCTAACAGTACAAATCCATATAAAGGACCGGACAGCTTCCTAGGCTTCTACCAGGTAATCTAGGCAGTTTTTAAGCATTATACAAGTCTTTTCCTTGATTTTTAAAAAACACACAATCCGCCACCTGCATTGCAGGTGCAAGGACCCGAGTTCGATCCCTGGTACCAAACAAAATACAACAAAACCTCACAAATATTTACTATGTACAAAGCACTTAGAGAACCAAGGTTACACAGAGTGTTGCTTAGGTAATAGAGAACACAGATTTCTACTATAATTCAGACAAAGAGAGTACCTTCTAGGGTAAAGCACTATGCAGGTGCTAGGGGGTGCAAAGTAAAAATACTTAGCAGTGGAACTTCATACTGTGTTCTCTAAATTTGAACCAATCTCATCAAACGGGAAAGAGCAACTCCTTATAATTATACAGTACATTCTTATTCAGTAAATATTTACTGAGGACCTTTTATGAGCTAGAAATATTAATTAATTCATCTCTTATAGTAGCTTAGCGAGGTCAGAAAACAGAGATCATGAGCCTTCAAGAACAAAGTAGTCTGGCTGGGCATGGAGGCGCACAACTGTAGTTCCAGCACTCAGTAGGTTGAGGCAGGAGGATCACCAAAAGTCTGAGGACAGCTTGGACTACATAGTGAGTTCAAGGACAGCCTAAACTATTTAGAGAGATCCTATCTCAAGAAAAAACAACAACAACAACAACAACAACAACAACAACAAAAAACAAGCAGTCTGAAGAAGAAAAATTCAAACACTAGGCAGTCCACAGCAAATAATGTCAGGTATAATAAAGATACCAGAACACCTCATGGAAAACAGTTATAGAGTGATGCCACAAAGGGTATGTCATGCATTGTAGTCTGAAGCATGAACATGAATTTTGTGAATGCAGTGATGGTGCTGCTGATGGTAGGAAAGTGAGGGCTGTTTAGCCAGTAGGAAAACAGGATGAGACAAGGATGTATTTCTGGAAGTAACAAATAATTGTGTGTGGCTTGTTTATTATGCCTGGATCCTAACCCTTCTCTCCTACTCCGACATCAGTTCAGGAATAGTTGCATCAATTCTGCATCAGTATTCCTTTATTGGCTCATTCTCAACAATAAATAAATATGCTAGTGGAGCCAGGCATGGTGGTGCATGTTATAATCCCAGCACTCAGGAAGCTGAGGCAGGAGGATCATTGCAAGTTGGAGGCCAGCCTGACCTATATAGTGAGTTCAAGGCCAACCTAAACTGCATAGTGAGACCCTGTCTCAAAAAAAACCCCAAAAATCCCTGCTATTAATACTTACTTTAGACAAAACCAAAAACCCAACCATTCTGAACAACTGTTACTCAGCTTATCATCCCTCCACTCTACTACTTGTCAAAATTACTAATGACCTCCATGTGGCCAAACCTAGCGGCCAATACTGCCCCCCCAGTACTGGGGATTGAACCCAGGGTCTCACCCGTGCTAGGCAAGTGCTCTACCACTTATCTATACCCTAGAGTGCCTCACCCCTGCCTTTCCCCCGCTACTACCAGGGATCAAACTCAGGATCTTGAACTTGCAAGGTAGGCATGGTGCCACTGAGCTAAATCCCTGACCCTACCTCTGCCCCCACTTTTTTTTTTGTACCGGGGATTGAACTTGGGACCTTGCACTTTAGAAGCAGCCAGCAGAACCACTGAGCTAAATCCCCAGCACCCTGTCTGTATTCTAAGTTGCCTAGACTGGACATGAACTAGTGATCCTGCTACTTCGTTCTCCCAAACAGCTGGGAACACAAGCGTGTCACCGTGCCCAACCATTAGTGGTCAATTTTCAAGTGTAATTTCCTCGATCCATCAGTTCAGATCGACGTATTCCTCATTTGACGTCCACTATTTTACTTTTTTCTGTTAACTTCCTTGGCTGTTCATTTTCAGTTTTTGTTTTTGATTTTTTTGTTTGGTACCGGAGATTGAACTCGGGACAATGCACTTGCGAGGAAGGTGGTAGAACCACTGAACTAAATCCCTGGCCCTGTTTTTTTTTTTTTTTTTTTTTTTTTCAATTTTTAATTATTTTTTATACTTCTCCATTATGGCCAGAAAGTGGCTTTTCTTTCTTTCTTTTTTTTTTTCCATTAAGTTTATCGGTACATTTTAGGTGTATAAATATAATGAATGACATTCATCATTGGAAATTTTTACCTTTACATAATCTATCTTGGTCATTATTTTTTCCCCACTCCCCTACCCTCCCTTCAACGTTGTACCCGTTTTTGTTTTTGTCTTGTTTGCTATTCATCTTCATTCCCATCACCTCTAATGTTGAGCACTCTGTGGGGCAGTCCCTAAAATGCCTACTCTTTCCTATAAATACTCTCCAGGTGATTTCATATAATCTCATGGACAAAAATAACATTTATATTTTGATGATTCTTACAGCTATCTCTTTTGCCTGGACTCCTTCCTTGAACTCCAAACTACATCCAACTGCCTACTCCACACTTTACTTGGGTATCTGATAGCTATCTCAGTTCCTATGCCTCAGCTCTACCAAACCTAGTCTCTGCCAGCTTTCCTTCTTCATAGACAGGAACTCAAAATAAACCCCTGATTGCTTCCCACTCTCACACTTCTACATTAATTTTCCCCATGTCTTTCTGTTGCTCAGTCTAGAAACCTCAATGACATCCTTTCCATCTCTCTTTTTTACCTTCATCTTATTTCTGTACTTCAACTTCCTTACCAGCTCTACCACTATCATTTTAGACCAAGCCATCATCATCTCTCACTTGAATTTTTTTTTTTTTAAAGACAGAGTTCCTTTAAGTTTCCCAGGCTGGCCTAGGCAATCCTCCTATGTGACCCCTAAGTAGTTGGGATTACAGGACTGTGCCACCATGCAGTCCCATGTAACCATGGGATTGTCAATATTGTCTGTTAACTGGTTTGCTGCTTTCACCCTTACTTTCTGACTAATTACCATGCAATGGCCAGAATAACTGTCTTAAAAGGTAAGTGAGATTATAGTATGTTATTCCTCTGCTGAAAGCTCTACCAATATCCATCTCATTCTAAATGAAAGCTGAAGTCCTCACAATCACCAATAAGACTAATACCTGGTTCGCTCTGCTCTCAAACTTTCTCTTCTTGCCACCCCAGCCTCCTTGCTGTTCCTTAATCATGCTAAGGACACTCCTAACATCCATCTACTGGAGTCACTTAAATCCTCTCTCCATTATCTGAATAATTTGCTGTCTCACTTTCTTCAAATATCCACTCAAATGACACTTTACGAGAGAGGCTTGCTTAAAAGGCTCCTGGTGTAAAGTGGCAAGTCAGGGGTGTGGGTGTAGCTCAGGGATGGAGCACTTACCTAGCATGCATTGGGAAGGTCTTAAGCTCGATCCTAATACAAACACAAAAACAATTCCGGGACCACCTATTGCCCATAACCAATTTTTTTCTATGGTATTTGACATTTTACTATTAATTTGGATTTTGGGCAGGTGATTTAGCTCAGTGGTTCTGCCACCTGCCTCGCAAGTGCAAGGTCCTGAGTTCAATCCCTGGTACCAAAAAACCAAAAACAAAACAAAAAACTATTAATTTGGATTTTGTATCTGTCAACTCCATTAGAATCTACTATGAACATCGTTCTGATTTTAGACTTCCAGTGACTAAAATAGAGCTTGGCACATAGTAGGTCCATTACTGAACGATATTGGAGTTCAGTCTATGTGGGTAGGGACTGATATGAGAAGATGCTGAACAGCTAAGTGATCTGAAGAGTCTCAAGAGACCTTAGAAGTTATGCCACAGAACCTCTGAAGAGTTTTGAGTGACTACACTGGGCAAGCTCTCTGAGCTCTGCACTATAAAACAGGCCCAGGCCTGGCAATCTCTAGACAAGCACCAGGAGTGCTCTGGACAGGACAGAGTTAGTGCTGCAGCCAAAGGATATGTTCCTGTTTCTTGTTCTTCTGTATATGGCATA